CACAGAGCCTCCGCTAAACCCCCGAGAAAACCGCGATACGGCTGCCCAGATTTTATTCGAGACGTTTAATGTGCCCGCCTTATACACATCGGTCCAAGCTGTCCTTTCGTTATACGCATCCGGCAAGACAACTGGTCTAGTTCTAGATTCGGGAGACGGTGTGTCGCATGCAGTGCCAGTCTTCCAGGGTTTTGCGATTCCCAACAGCATCAGGAGGATAGACGTGGCAGGCCGAGACGTTACAGAGCACTTCCAGCAACTGCTGAGGAAAAGCGGCCGCGTCTTCCACACCAGCGCTGAGAAGGAGACGGTCAAGAATATCAAAGAGGCAACAGGATACGTAGCACTCGATCCGGCCAAGGAGGAAAAGGACTGGTCAGGCTCGTCCAGATCAGAGGGCAAGAGCGTCGACTACGCACTACCTGATGGCCAGAAGATAAAGGTGAGTACAAATGACAAAACGCATCGTACACGAGCTGACAGTCCAGATCGGAGCGGAACGCTTCCGAGCACCAGAGATACTCTTCAACCCCGAGATCATTGGTCTGGAGTACCCTGGCGTACACCAGATTGTCGTCGAGGCGATACACAGAACCGACATGGACCTCCGAAAGGCGCTTTATGGCAACATTGTACTCTCTGGAGGTTCCACACTGACAAAGGGATTCGGAAACAGGCTGCTTCATGAGGTGCAAAGACTGGCGGTGAAGGACATGAGGATCAAGATCTTAGCACCACCGGAGCGCATCTACACCACGTGGACCGGTGGCAGCATTCTTGCGGGCCTCAGCACCTTCAAGAAGGTAAGTTCCTTATTCCCAACGAGGCTGTAGCCAGTGAACTGACACGTGCGTGCAGATGTGGGTAGAGAAAGACGAATGGCAGGAAAACCCAGACATCATCCACACCAAATTCGCATAAGCACCGACACGTCGTCTTTGGCAGCAGCACTTACTCCGCACCCGTTTCTCCCGCCTCCGCATCATCTTTCGAGAAGGAGCTGCGTGGTTGCATGGGTAGCGCAGTTGCAGTTAGTCATGGAATGGGGTCCCAAGACCTGGGGTCGCGCCAACCACCGAGGAAGAAAGCTGGGGGCTGCGCGCTTGGTTGGGTGATGGCAGATCTACGTGTCAGCCGGTAGCCGTAGCTTCTAGACGGGAGAGCTACTGTAGCATGCTGCTTTCCCCGCATTCGAGTGCGTTTCTGTTACTTAAGCGCGAGCATGGTTCGAGAGTGTCGGTTAGGTAAGGTGTACGAGGGGAGAGCCCGTGCATGGCAGGCGTTTGTGAGCGCTTTGGAATACCCCTATGATTATGAAGCGTACAGAATACCACAATTAATCCACCTGCGAATGTGCACACGGAGGGCGAAACGGAAAGTTACAGTCAGATGGTTTGGGCGAATGGGTGTGCCAAGCATCGTGAGGTCTTGTCTAGTCGCGTCAGCTATGGTGTGACTGCGGTCAAATCACCGATGCTTCACTCCACGTAATGTGCAACGCATATTACACACAATGGCGACATGACATGCGCAAATAGCATCACCCCAGCCGCAGCGATCGCGAGCACTGCAGGTACCTGATCACAGGGCCAGCCACAACAGGGGCCACGTACCTGTTCGACACCGCAGACCGCAAGCACAGAGCCGCCCACGCCTAGACTTCACGATGCTCGACGTCATGCACGACGGTGCGTCCGGAGGCTCGGACGGCCAGCTGAACGTGCGCGGTCAGCTGGCAGAGCGAAAAGTTGAGCGGCCGAAGGTGTAATTGCTCTTTTGGAAGACGCCACCAACGATGAAGCTCACTGTGCCTTGCAGAAGGATGGCTATCGATGCATGCAATGGGTATCAAAACAGCAACACCAGCATCAAACAGGCAGCGTCAGAATCTGCAGCGTCTCCATCTCGGTTCTCCTCTGATCCAGGCACCCGATGACAAGCGCAGAGCGTATGCGGCGTATGCATGACGCGAGCCAGACATGAGACGCAGCACGGCGAAAAAATCTCTTCCCGCCTCCACACTCTCCGGCGGGAAGCGTGCGCTGGCCGTCGCGGAAGCTGGCACAAGGCCCCAGTTTGCGCATGGCGTCTTCTGCGTCAAATTTTCAGTCAGACACCTCACAGGCGGCGCGCTTCGGCCATGTGCGCTGCGGTTGCTGCGGAGCCAAGCTCCGGGCTTTCGATAGCGTCATGGGCTCGATCGCTTCGCTCCTTGTTCTCCGCTGCACCTGACCATTTCCCCTGGCAATCTCTTACCCCCGAGAAACTCGCTCCAGCCAATCACCGCGTTTTGAGGGGGTAATGGTAAACTATTCATGGTGCTGAGAAATTTCCTACACTGGCCTTGTTAGGGGACGCATGATCCATTGACTGCCGTTAACTGCAAAGTGTCGCTCAGACTTCCAAGGCTTCTGAGCTGGCCTCGTGCGCGTCTGGTTCGTTTCGTGGCGCCGAAAAAAAGCTTGCGCGTGAGAGGTTTTCTTGCCTTGCATTCCAGTAGTGAGAGGGGATCGTGATCAGTGCGACGCTGTTTGTTATATAAACCCTTCTACCCCAGTAGGTCTTGTTGAGTACCAACGATCATCAACCACTACAGATCTTCCCGGAGCTACCTCTTACTATCAACACTACCCCAGATTTATATCGACGACAGTCGCCACTTGACTTGCTCCCAACAACCAACAACCTCACTACCAAACAATCAAAATGGTCAGCTTCCACATCAACGAGCCTCACCCGTCCGCCGGTGCCTACATGTACTCTGGCCGCGGCGGCGCCGGCAATGCCATGCGCATCAAGCCCACTGAGGTCACCCCCGGCCCCACAGCCTCAGGTCCAGCTTCGCGCACCAAGCTGCCTCCCCCACCCAGCAACGCCTTCTACGCCACCGGCCGTGGCGGTGCTGGCAACATGAAGAAGTCTGAGCGCGCCATCTTCAGCTTCGACGAGGAACTCCAACAGCAAGAACGCCTCCGCACTCAACAAGCACCCGTCTACCACATCGGTCGCGGCGGTGCCGGCAACCTCGTCGACGAGATGAAGCCCCGATCCCAACGCCAGAACTCCGCCTCCTCCACTTCCAGCTCTTCAAGCGTAGAGAGCGAGAAGGACGGCGTCCGCCGCAGCATGGAGTCCGCATGGCAGCGCCTGAGCAGGCAATTCTCTCACCAATAAGAGAGTCCCTGCCGCCTCGTCTTGCGCCCAACCTTCACTTCTTGCATACCCCATCTTCAACATGAGAGCTGGTTCTGAATCTCTCATCATCTCAGCATTTCCATCAGCACGGCGTTTTCCACGGAGGTCTACCATCTCCCATTGTACAATCACCCACAACAAAAGTCCCTTTTTTCACGACATCAGTTTTCTCCCTTCCATAACGACATATCCACACAACCATCGAGGAGCCAGGCGCCTACCTCCGGTCATCAACACACATAAAAGTAACACCTTGATACCCGGAAACCACGTCCTGCTCTTACGAGAGAGGGCCCACTATTCTCTGAACATTTTTTTTTTTGATTATTTGCGGAAAGGGGAAGAGGAAATTTATACCCCCAGGCCAGTGAGAAGCTGGTGAGGACAAGGACGGGTTCGTCTTTGCCTCTGTGAAATAGTTTTAATTGAATGATCTCCATCTTCATACTTTTGTGCCAGCTTGCCACCCTGTGACTGTTGCATGTACCATCCTAGATCAAGTCATAGACGCAAGGCATGTACTTTGCAGTTACACAATGTTGTGAACACTTGGCAACGTCTTCCCAGTAACACACATCCACCCATCCATTCCCTCAAAGCTTCCCTGCTCGGTACTTCACAACTGCGCAAAACTTCTTCACTCAGCGAAAATTCTCCACCACCTCACAGTAAAATTTCCAGCCTTCCCGCCCTACAACCCACGACTCAGTACTCCTACAGCAGAGTCTCGACTAACCCAGCCCAGCCACCAGCACCAGCACCACCGCCCATCGTAAACACGCCAAGCTACCCACACGAAATATAACTCGTTTCGCGGAGTCAACTCCGCCAAGTTTCCTTTTTGTGGCGTGTAGATCTAGATCGACGCGGACCAGCAGAGCTAGCTTGCATGCGTACGTGCATACGCGAGCGTAGATCAGAGTCTGCGAGTAGACGCATGGGTCTTGTTCACCGGAACCTTTTGAGGGAGACGGGATGGGGGATTTGGGGCATGTGGAGATCGTGAGGTTGGGCGTGATGGTGTAGTGGAGTGGAGTGGAGTGTCACCGGTTGGAGGGGCGAGCTAGTAGGAGTAGGTGTCTTTGGTGGTGGTTTTGTGGGCGGGTGGGAGTTGTTGACGTTCAGTGGGATTTCTGTGTGTGTCTCACATAATGGAAAAAAGATGAAGAGGCCTGCGGACTACATCAACGTGGATGCATGCAAATTGAGTAAACTGGAAGCGTTAAAATGGATATATAAGCCAGTGGGTATCATCGGAAAGGTGTCAAAGTCTGGTATAGCCCTCTACCAGTATTAGAAAGGCCGTGAAATGAGAAACCTGAGAGTAATGTCGGCTCTAGGGTGTTTTAGTTTTCATCCTTGAACAAGGTGCGTGGACTCGTTGGGTGGTAAGATTGAGTTCGGGGTTTATCGTCCCGCGTTTCCGTAAGTAAAGAAATTGTATGTGAAACAGTGTCAAAATATCGATAGCAACGGACAAACGATTCTACGACATACGATACATGTACATTCACGTGTTGGACTGACGGTGGGAAGAACAAAATGCCAATTTATGATATCTCTATACACTGGGAAACCTCCCAAAGAGCGCCGTATTATGAGTAGTAATTCTTTTAGTTGGCCCTTTTCAAAGATAAGGCTATGCAATGATCCCAAGATGACTGATGTGAAGAGAACGAATACCAAAAAAAAAAAAGAGAGCCGCGAGCCAAAAAACTACCAATACACGTTCTCGAGGCGCCTCCAAGACCCCAAGTTCCGTCGTGACCCCGGAATATAGACTGCCAACGAATCCTTTTGTTCCTTCAGCGCCTGGGTTGCGCTTTGCTAGCCGTGCTGATCAACAGCTTGAAGCCGTTCTTGAGCGCCAGCATATCGGGGTAGACGTTCTTGTGGAGTTCGAATGCGTTGGGGACGACCTTGATGCCCCAGGCTCCCTTGGGTCCGCGGGCGCTCATCTGGAAGCAGATCCAGAAGTGGCCGGGGTACTTGGGCATGCTGCAGAAGGCGTACATGGAACGTGAAGGGTTGGCTTCGCAGTAGTTCTCTAGCCATTTCTCTGTAAGGGGGTTAGCTTGTGTCTCTAGAATTCAGTGTGATCGACTTACCAGTATCTTCTCGTGTGCCGGGTTGGAATCGCTCGTCTCGTGTGATCTCTGTGACCTTGCGTGCCATAGCCTCGACGTGGTTGACGATCAACTCGTCGAGATCGGAGTATGTGTGCTTTCCAATCTTGAGCTGCTTTCCGAGCGAAAATTGGTTTGCCTTGTTCATCTCGAGAACGTCGAGATGTTGGTAGGCGTTGTTGGATACTTTCCATGTGACGACTAGATGGTCGAAACCCTTCGAGGATGGACGAATGACCAAGTCACCGGTCTCCTTACCACCGAGGTACTCTTCGGCTTGCATGGTGTTGAAGGCGAAGAAGAGAGGGTGGTTGACGACACGGTTGGGCCGACCAGAAGCAACTTCCTTTTCCTTCTCGGCAGCTTTCTTGTCTTGAGCTTCTTGTGCGTCATCCCACTCACCAGCTGCGCGATTGTAGGGCTTCTTCTCTGGCGCTCGAATGAGATCGTCTCGGAGCGACAGTTGTGCGGTGAGAGCCTTGCGGTTGAGGTACACGATACGTGCGCGCACGATCTGGTGGCTCTGGTAGACGTGGCGAGGTTCTTGTCCGCCACTGCCAACACCCTCTGGAAACTCTGATTCAGAGACGCCACCTTCGATGCCGCATTCCAGCTTGACCTCGATGTGGTCTGGGAATGTTCGCCTGATGGTAACGGGTACGACCATACCCTCGTAGAGAGTCTCCTCCGTCTCACCAGTCAGCATTGTGAACAGCTCAGCACCAGACAGCAGCGCAAAGATTTGTCGGATCTCCTCGTAAGGATTGTCGAGCTCGGCGCGAATGGTCTCGAGTGTTGCACGCTTGCGCTGTCCAAAGTTGCGCTCAATCTCCGCCGCGTAGTCTTCCAGAGCTAGGTCGTTGACCAGATCGGTGGTCTCCTCCCGCACCATCTTCCTAACAACGGCACTGGGTCCACCTTCGTCAGTCTCGGCCTTAACATCCTCTTCGTCCATGTTAAGGGCGTCAGCGACCATCTTCCTGGCAAGATCGTAGTCTTCTGGATGTACACGGGTGTAGTCCAAGTAGTCGGAGGACTCTTCTGTTGAATCGTAGGGGATGTAAAGGAAACTGGCGCAATTCTGGAAGACTTTGGGACCCATGGCTGCCTTGAGGTCCCTAGACTCAGACACACCAAGGAGGTCGAAACGTGACAGAATCTCATCGCTGTTGGCCTGAATGGCCTTGATCAAGCGATCAGCCTTACGAGGACCCAGACCACACACGTAAGGAATCAACTTCGAGAGGTATTTGTCGTCGTACGTCTCCGGTAGGTCGATACCCACGAGGTTGACCATATCCACCATCGCGGTCTCTAGTCGGTCCAGGAGCTTCTCTTGTGGTATCAAGGTTTGGTTGGGGATAAAGGGTATCGAAACGATGTCTTTGCCGAGTGATGCGTATTCCGCCAATGGATTTTGCAAGTACCGTCCGAGAGCAACACAGTACCTCGTTAGCGCGGGATACTTGGGGAACTCGGCGATAGCCCGACCACTTGTATGATAGAGACGAGCGACCTCATCATTGACCAAGATCACTTCCAGTGGCTCGTTCCTCTCTTCACCGGTGTCCTCGTCCTCGTAGGCGGGGCCAGTCAGGCCTCGCTGGCCGATGATTTCCTGAAGGTCCTTGTACAGTTTGCGTGTCTCGACCGAGAAGCCAGAGACACCAATCACGTCTGGTCGGCGGCGCTGAATCACGTCAACAAATTTGTCGATGTCCTGGCCTTCAGGAATACCGCGCTCCGCATTTCCAAGGCGCATCTCCACCAAACGGCCGTGCTCAAGTACCCGCCCATCGTTCTCGACGTAGGCCCACATGATCGCGTCTCCACGTTGGCCTTTACCGTTGGCCAGGCAGAGAACGTTGGGTACAGATCCGAGAGGTGCACTCTTCAGCTTGTAGGGCGCTTGATCAAGCTTGTTGTAGTAGTTCTCTCTTGCTGATGCGGCGAGTTCATCCTCACATCGAGCACGCAGAGTTTCTTTGACACCGTTGGCGATGACAACCTGTAGCTTGTCTAGCGCCGCGCCGAGCAGTTCCTTACGGAGGGCGTTCCAAGTGTCAGAGACTTCACTGACACCTTCGGAGATGATCTTTTCCTCAAGCTTTGTCTTGAAGTTCCTGTAATTGCCCATGGAGATTCGGACTTGTACAAGACCTTCCGCCTCGGCCTTCAGCATCTTCAAAAAGAGATCCGGTCGACCTTGAAGATCCGAAAATGTGACCCCACGTAGGTACTTGAATTCGTAGTAGGGGTGGTCCTCTGTAATCTTTCGCATGCCCTTGTCAGTGCGAATGCAGTCGATCTGGGCGTTCTGGTAGAAGCTACCACGCAAGTATCGACGGAGGCGTGAGCACATTTGCAAATCCTGAACATACAAGAGCTTCGCAGACCTGAGAAGAGTGGCGCCAGTCTCTGGAGCGTCAGCCATCTGGTCGGCGAGCTCTTCAACCTTGTATGGCGGGTCCTCAATTGTATGCGCGCCTCGATTTGACCCATCAATCTTCTTTGCAAAGTCCTCAGGTGTGATGCCGATCGCTTTGACGAGTTGATTGGCTTTACCGCCCCTCAACTTATCGAAGAAGCTGCGCGCGTTGTTGGCACGCTTCTGTGTTCCGTTCACTTCTTGTCGGACCTCGTTGATCTCTTGCGAATACTTGTAGTGTAGGCAATCTTGAAGTTCCTGGATTTCTTCGATAGTAATGGCCTTGGCTGCCAACTCCTCGATCTCAGGATCAGTGATGTCGGAGTATACACTCTTCAGGTTCTCGTAGTTTTGCTTGAGGGCGTCGCGCTTCTCTGCAAAGGCCCTGAACTTGAGGTCGAATTCGAATACTTCCCACAGATCGGCCTGGTTCAGCAAGCGCTCTGGTCGTGCATCCATGGGCGGCGGGTTGTCGATATCGTCGTAATCGTCATTGTCGCTTGGGGCGTGGATAAGGTAGTCTTTGCGGTGGTTGAAGATGAAGGGCACTTCGTAGTCTTCGAGATTGATAAACTCCAGGACCTTGCGCACAGCTTTCTCGAAAGGTTGCAGGAAGTAGCGGGGGAGGCCCTTCTTTGGCCACAGCATATTGCTGATCCAGGTGGCCTCTTCTGTCAAGCGTGCTTGCATGTCTTCTGGCGTGAGCTCGATCTCCTTGAAGGATCTCCGGGCTAGCTGCAATCGCTCGGGAATGTCGGTCTCGCGGATGACGTTGTCCTCATCCGTAAGCATGCGCTCCTGTAGTTGCGATGGCTCGAAGACATCCTTGAGTTGAAGCTCACGGCCTTCACCAGCTTGCTCGTCCTCTTCCGCCTCTTGCATCTCCAGCGCCCAGTCGTAATCTGTGCCATCACCAAAGGCAGCCCTGTAGTCTTCTTCTGCTCCCTCGTCCAGACCTGCAGCTTGCAGTCCCTTTGTGATCAGGTTTATGCCTGGTTGTGTGACGTCGCGGTCGTCTTCGATCTCGTCTTCGAACTTGTCGTCCTCAATAAAGTCGTCGAATTCGTCGCCAAGGCGCCCGCGCGGCTCGTCGTAGTCTTCGTTTACTTCGTCGTCGGAGAAGATGTCGTCCACGCCGCGGGACTTGACGCGCTCCTTGTGGCCACGCTTCAGGCGCTTGAACCTCGACTTCCCCTAAGTTAGCGGTGCCCACGCTTCAGCAAGGTATGCCTTACCTGTTCTTCTGCCGGGCGCTCAACCTCGACACCGATCAGGTCGAGATCCTCGTCATCTAGGGCCTCTTCCTCGTGACGGTCCTTCTTCCTCTTCCTGCGCCGACGTTTGCGCTCCGCGACCTCGTCTTCTTCGTCCTCGTCTGCGATGAAGCCTTCACCTTCCTATATGTCCATTAGCATCTGCAGATACCCTAACCAGTACGACCAAGCTTACCTGTCGCAGCCTGTCTTCGTCGTCGTCATCTTCCTCCTCGCTGGAGTCGTCGATGCCATTTGTGCCATTTGTCTTCTTCGGCCTGGGTTCAACGGCGTCGCCAGCCTCGCCATCAAAGTCCTCATCCTCCTCCTCGTCGCTGCCTACGTCGGCGATTGTGTCGAAGAACTCCGCCATGGTGATTCAAACAAGGACAACGCGTGGACTGGTGGTTCTGGCGAAGGAGCGCGATGGGCGATTTCGGCGAGCTCTTTGCAGCAGAGAGATTATCGTACTGCGGCGATTCAGCGGGAGGGAGATTCGGGCGCAATGGAGGTAAAGGAGAGAAGGAGGGCAGAAGTAGCCTCTCAAAGGTTCGCGCACCCATCGGCCGCGTTAACTTTCGGCCGCACTGACGCTCGTCACGTGACAGCCTGATACGCGCTAGGCGGATACCATCAACAAAAGTTGACCATACCCGACTTGGAACAGCATGCTACAGCTACGGGCATCAAACACGTGGGCTTCCCTAGCCTCGTTCTCTACATGTATCTAGTCATGTACTGAGGACGTGTTTGAGGAGGATCAAGCTTAGATATACTAGGGATGCAGCGACGACTCAAGCTCCAATGCACAGATTAATCATCACCACCAGACTTGCAAGAAAACATCTCCAAGGCAACGGTCACGCCATGCGGTTCTTTGAGATGTATTTCGTGGAAGTGATTGGTATGTCAAACGTCCGACGTTGGATTGGTGTGTACGCCAGGCACATGGCCGCATTCGAGATACGCGCTTTGAAGTTCTGCGCTAGAAGCAGGTGAAGCATGGCGACGAGGAACCATGCGACTCTGAAACCTCCTGAACAAGGCATCGTATAGTGTATACAGACTTATCAAAGACTCATCCCTTGGAGAACTTGAGTATTTGACAGCTCTCTTTCTCTCGAAGACAGAGCTACATTGCCGCTCATTTGCATCCTCTGCAGCCTCGCAGACTCAGTTACAGACGTTGGACGCTACCGCAACCCCACCAGCGCGCCCCACTCGCGCTGGATACTGACACGACCACGACCTCTCCTGAGCCGGTCTGCTGTCAACAACGCCCGAGACACTGCCCTCCATTCACTGCCATCGCCATTCCAATCGGTCCCTGCATTCGCCCACCTGCACATTTTAAAGTCAGGCGCCCGGAAACGGACAAACCAATAGACGCTGTCCTCCTTTGGGCTATTTCCGTCATTGGCGTACCATCGTCGACCCAGCGTCGGGCGGCAAACTCGAAACCACAGCCAGCACCTGGCCTCCTACACACTTGGGCTCTGTATTCTTCGCAGAGTAGCCATTGCCTCGCAGTCGCTGCACCCGTCCACCTTCATCCACACGACAGCAGCGCCCGGCGCAAACCTTCAAGATGGCCGAGTCGTCCTTCAAGCAGAAGACGATGAAGAGGAAGAACGTCAAGGGTCTCGCCCTCAGCGCTCCTGCCCCCAAGCCCGCACCTTCCGCCGGTGATGCCCAAATACCCGGCGCCCGAGCCAATGACGAGAAGCAGGATACCCTAGAGATTGGTGTTGAGTTCCAGCTGGACCTAAAGGCCGAGGACCTGATAGTGCTGCGCGAATTGGGTCACGGAAACGGAGGAACAGTCAGCAAGGTGCAGCATGCTGCTACCAAGGTCATCATGGCGCGGAAGGTGAGTGGCAGACCAGGAGGTGTATGGCACGAGGAGACTGACAAGGGCAGGTTATCCACGTCGAGGCCAAGAACGAAGTCCGGAAACGAATCGTGCGAGAACTCCGAATCATGCACGACTGCAACTCACCCTACATTGTCGACTTCTATGGTGCCTTCCAAAATCCTTCCGGCGATGTCATCATGTGCATGGAGTACATGGACGTGGGGTAGGTGCAAGCTGCTTCATGCTGCAGGATGTGAGTTGCTAACTTGCATGCCAGATCGCTTGACTGGGTTTCACGATCATTCGGACCCGTCCGCGTCGACGTTCTCGGAAAGATTTCAGAAGCCGTGCTCGGCGGCCTCGCCTACCTTTACAGCGCCCACCGCATCATGCATCGCGACCTCAAACCCTCCAACATCCTCGTAAACTCAAAAGGAAACATCAAGCTATGTGACTTTGGTGTCTCAAGTGAGCTCGAGGGGTCTATTGCCGAGACTTTTGTAGGAACAGGCACATACATGGCGCCGGAGCGGATACAAGGTTCTCCCTACACCGTCAAGTCGGATGTATGGAGTGTTGGTCTGACGCTCATGGAACTGGCCATTGGCAAGTTTCCGTTCTCTGGAAGCGCGGATGATGACGAAGCTGGAGGCCCTCAAGGTATCTTGGATCTCTTGCAGCAAATCGTGTTGGAACCTTCACCCAAGCTACCAAAGAGCGATGCCTTCCCATCCATTCTGGAGGACATGATTGCGAAGTGTTTGATGAAGGATCCAGCGGAGCGACCAACTCCCAAGGAGCTATACGTAAGTTGTCCCAGCTGGAAGCGATGTCTAAGCGTGCTAACCATAGCAGGACCACGATGCCTTCCTTCAAGCCGCCAAGCGCACTCCTGTCAACCTAGAAGCATGGGCCATATCCATGATCGAGCACAACAAGCGCAAATCCCATCTCGCCCCCACCGCCCCTGCAGCGGACATTAAAGAGAAGCTCCGCGAGCGATCTCCTCCCCACAAGCGTGAATCCAGCGACCCCAGGCAAAGAGTAGCCAACGGCGACCCCGAACCCGCACCACGACGACCGTCATACCCCACACGGACGTCGAGCAGTTCCAATGTCATGAACCTACCTATGCGACCAGCGCCATCTGTAGACGGTCCGGGTAGCAGACCGGGTAGTCGGGGTCCATCAGCCAACGGCTTACCACCTCAGCCGAGGAGGTGGAACAGCGAAGTACAATAGTGGGACAAGACGCGTTTTCTATTAGATAGCGGATCTAGGCAAGTATATAGAGGTTATGGGGGATTCTGTAAGGTCCCTACTGGATGTCGGGACCATCTTCATCAAATGTAACGTCGGAGGTTTTCGCCTCGAAGGCTTGTTGTTGTTGACTTTCGACTAGCATCAAATACCAATTACTCATCTTTCGTATTTCGTACTTCGTACAATGCTGATGGTGACCATGAGAAACACTGTTCTGCCGGTGGTATAGGCAGTAATTCGGCATCGCCAAACCTGCACCGTCTCATGCTGGATCAGCGTAGATCATGGTACCTCTCAGCCTTTCATTCGTACATCCTTATCTTCCCCGCCTGAGGTATTTCTTGTCCCTGTCGAAGTACTTGAAGTGAGCGCTTGCTCGCGGCATCACAAGACTAGAAGTACATCCAAGCTCTCGGCTAGGGAAAGCTAAACACTCCAAACAAGGAGTGTTTGAACGGGGCTGAGGAGTTCTATTTCATCTTACGGCCGTTAGCAACAGGGTATTCGATTCCGAATAGATGCGATCGCAATGTAGGCGTCAGGGCCGTTCGCTATGTTATACGCAATTTTGCTTGCAGGTACACGTTTGATTGTTTCCTTGGACGGGGTGAAAGTTCCAACGACTCAGATGAATTGAACACGCAATTCGCACATGTCCTTTGCAGCAATGTCGCAATACACCCAAAGTTCAAAAGAGCAGAGTCGTAGAAAGCTATCTGTTCTACAATTAGATCTTTCTTTGACTCTTGATGAACATCTCAATTGTATACACAGTCCAAGATCTCCTTATCCAACATCGATCGATCCCCATCTTATCAAGGTAGTCACGCGGGTTAATAGATCTATCACCCGAGTGCGCATCGTTCATCAAGAAAGTTAATGTTCGAAAGAGGCAAGGTCAAATCGGGGCTCCGAGGTGGTAAGCCGGGAACTAAGACGGGCACTACGCGTTCCCCACGACCACGAGTAGTATATACCATCACCAACTGCGATACTTTCTATCGCAATGAAAGCGCCGAGCAGAATTGCAATCGAAGACTAAAACTGAACTGTCCAGCTTCGCACAGACCTTGCGATGGCAGACACAAGCGATCGCGCCACGCTTGGCTTCCCGTTGTCGTCGCTGTCGCCGAGCGGGGCGCATCCGATAGTAGCAAGCGTATTGCTTGTCTTGATTGTGAGTCCCCCAGCTTCAGGGTTGTTCCTTCCCAGCACTGACCATACAAAGTCCGCGTTTGTGTACGGCTTCTACAACGCGTTCCTCCATCCGCTGCGCCACTACCCCGGTCCACTACTTTGGCGAGCCTTCCGCATCCCGCATGTCGTCTCAACACACCGTGGTGAGATTCACAAACGACTCACTGAGTTCCACACCAAATATGGACCTGTCGTGCGTGTCGCTCCCAACGAGCTGTCTTATGCTAGCAGCCGTGCGTTGAAAGAGATCTACGTCACCCGACCGGGCCATCTACCATTCGAGCGTAACCGCACTTCGTTCAAGAAGCAGGCCCCAACGGATCCAAACTCCATCGTCAACTGGCATGAAGGAGACCACGCAAGATACAAACGGGCCTTCGCGAATGGCTTCTCAGAGAAGATCCTGAAGGAACAGGCACCAATCATTGAGAGCTACGTTGACCTCTTTATGACACAGCTAAAGAAAAGGAAGGCTATCGATCTTGAAAAGTGGCTGAACTATCTGACCTTTGACATTTCCGGCGACTTCACATACGGCGAGTCCTGGAACTGTGTTGCGAACGGCAAAGCGCATGCCTGGGTCGACATTTCCCAAGACTTCGGCAAAGGGCTTGCGTTGATCCAATCGACCAATATGTATCCGCCGATTGACAAGCTGCTCCGCTACATCATCCCCAAGCGCATCTTGCAAAGAAGCATGGAACACCGGAAGATGAGCTTCGAACAGGCTCGGAAGAGGATAGCGATGGATACGGAGCGTCCAGATTGGGTGACGCCGACCAAGAAGTACAGCGACATGAAAGACCCCTTTACAGGCCCCGAGTGGGGAATCAACCTGCTCGTACTCGCCTTCGCTGGGAGTGAGACTTCAGCTAGTGCCCTGACCGCTATCATCAGATCCTTGGTACAGCACAAGGGTGTGCTGCACAGACTCACAGCTGAGATCAGGGAGACTTTCCAGAAAGAGAGCGATATCACAGTGGCAACAACAGGAAACCTGACGTACCTCAACGCAGTCATTTCAGAAGGCATGCGCCTCAACCCTCCCGTCGTCATCG